TACATCACTGGAACATCTACCTCACTAATACATCACTCGATCAACTATCTCACGAATACATCACTGGATCATCAACCTCACGAATTCGTCACTTCATCATCTACCTCAATAAAACATCACTTTATCGTCAATCTCACTAATTTATCACTCGATGGTCTGTCTACCTTACAAATACATCACTTCATCATCTACCTCACTAATGCATCACTTCATCCTCTACCACACGAATGCATCACTTCATCCAGTACCTTACTAATACATCACTAGATCATCAACCTCACTAATACATCACTGGATCATCTACCTCACTAATACATAACGAAATCATCTGCGACACTGATACATCACTAGATCATGTACCTCACTAATACACCACTTCATCTATCTCACGAATACATCACAAGATCATCTAACTCACTAATACATAACTAGATCATCTACCTCACTAATTTATCACTCGATTGTCTACCTCACAAATACATCTCTTCATCCTCTACCTCACTAATACATCTCTTTATCCTCTACCTCACTAATACATCAGTTCATCATGTACCTCACTAATACACCACTTCATCTATCTCACGAATACACCACTAGATCATCTACCTCGCTAATACATCACTAGATCATCTACCTCACTAATACATCACTTCATCTATCTCACGAATATATCACTATATCATCTACCTCACTAATACATCACGAAACTATCTACCTCACTTATACATCCCTTTATCATCTACCTCACTAATACATCACGAAATCATCTACCTCACTAATACTTCACCAGATCATCTACCTCACTAATACATCACTTTATTATCTACCTCACTAATACACCACTTCATCATCTAAATCCAAAATACATCACTTCATCATCTTTCACACTAATACATCACTAGATCATCTACATCACTGATACATCACGAAATCATCTACCTCACTAATACATCACTGGATCATCTACCTCACTAATACATCACTGGATCATCTTCCTCACTAATACATCACTGGATCATCTTCCTCACTAATACATCACTGGATCATCTTCCTCACTAATACATCACTGGATCATCTACCTCACTAATACATCACTCGATCATCTACCTCAATAATACATCACTGGATCATCTACCTCACTAATACATCACTAGATCATCTATCTCACGAATACATCACTGGATCATCTTCCTCACTAATACATCACTGGATCATCTACCTCACTAATACATCACTGGATCATCTACCTCACTAATACATCACTGGATCATCTACCTCACTAATACATCACTGGATCATCTACCTCACTAATACATCACTCGATCATCTACCTCACTAATACATCACTCGACCATCTTCCTCACTAATACATCACTGGATCATCTTCCTCACTAATACATCACTGGATCATCTACCTCACTAATACATCACTGGATCATCTACCTCACTAATACATCACTATATCATGTACCTCACCAATATATCACTTCACCTACCAGACTAATACATCTAATATTACTGCAATACACCTGATAGTTTTTTGTCTGACCAGAAAGATTGTTCTGAACATTGAATAACTGTAGGGTAGGTTTTAATAAAGCTGCTGTATGTCGAGATCGCCATGGTATTAAATCTGCGGTATACAGAAAATACTGTCTGTGTTGATAGCGGTACCCGTGTAAGTGAAGCTGTCGTATATGGGTAATACACTGCGTATGTTGGCTTGTTTGTAGGTACCAGCTATATGACGGCTGTCTGTACATAATCGAGTCTGGACCAGTCATTGACGTCATGAGCATCGATCTATGCAATTGGGATAGGATGACATGTATTAACCAAATCAGCGAGCCTGACCACCCGGTATTCGCCTCTTAAGACATGCACAGTCGCCTTTTACGGCTGGCATGGGTTGCTGAAGACCTATTCTACCCGGATGTTCGCGTGTGTTGGTAGATGTATCTATCTGAGTAAAGCTGCTCTACATAGGAAATACTTCGTGTGTTAGCGGGGGTTATATGAGACAGAAGGTTGACCACACACATACCGCCACGTGACGAATGCTCACTGAACCATTGTTATCGACATGCGCACACAATAACAACCGTTGTGGCACTCATCTACACAAAGACACAAACTGCCGATCACATTTGATCACCACTGTGCGACACGATTGGCTATCAAATGTGTTCATCGCAATTACTAAACCCTGCTGATAGTGAATTTCCGCACAGAGAAAATATGAAGACTTATCGTCCTGGTACAGAACAAACCACACCGTTCAGATATTCGGTTACTTTTGACCATCCCTATGCAAAGCTTGTCGCCCGTGCGTCGTCGAGATCCGTGGGGGAGCGAGACGCAAGGGCGAGGGAGGCCTGTTTGGCGGCTATTTGGGTCACGCGCCGCACGTGCTCTCATAGACTTTCGTCGCCTGACGTCCGTAATTCCCACGGTTGGTTAATTGGACAGGACACGGCGATTTATTGCCATTTTTCTGGTCGTTTTCTCTCTGTTAGTTAACTTTTTGAGTTATCTAGAATAAGATTTGTTTGTCTGTTCAGTTTTGTAGCTGCTTTAAAAACGACTAAGTTTTAAGCATGAAGTCTAAACATTCTTCATAACACATTTAAATTCAAGAGTATATAAACGTGTCAATTTCAAGTCATGTCTCGTTTTGTGTCTTCATTCTGCCAGATTCACATGTGGAATATTAAACAATTGATACTTATTACTTATTACTTATATTTCTGAAATTATGTCAATTTCCTCGAAATTCACTGTTGGTGCGCGTGTGTTAAATTGGTTTTGATAAAATAATCTAACATTTGACAACAAAACATTTCCCAAAAATATTGTTATGTAAGATATTCGTATTCAAACAAAACCACACTATCATTTGACATGTACTTAGCTAAAACAAACACATATGATAGTCTGAGTCGTCATCTTCAGCAACCCATGCATCCATGCTTGCCGTAAAAGGCGACTATGCTTGTGGTAAGAGGCGACTAACGGGATCGGGTGGTCAGGCTCGCTGACTTGGTTGATGCATGTCATCGATCCCAATTGCGTGGATCGATGTTCATGACATTAATCACTGGATTGTCTGGTCTAGACTCGATTATTTACAGACCGACGTCATATAGCTGGAATATTGTTGAGTGCGGCGTTAAACAACAAACCAACCAATCATCTTCTTGATTAGGTTGTAAAGGATAAAACGCGTAGTCTTGGTCAGTAAGACCGAGAGCGAAGCTCAGTTTTACTATCCCTGCAACTCGAGTGTTTTACAGTCCCAGCCATAACCGAGCAACAGTTTTGTATCTAGTTCCGGTACCAACAAGTGTGCCCGAACATATTAATAAAAATAATTGCATTGTTTATCCCTTACACAAAAGTGGACTCGACCGGTACCTTGTCAACTTTCATGATTAATTTTGTTTTTTTAAAGCATTAAAAGATTTAACTCATTTTGTTATGTATTCAAGATAACAATGCTAAACGATTCCAAAGCTTAACTTCAAAACGTTTCCTTCCAAGGCGTCAATGGCCGCACCAGTGGTGACCGTCGAATCAGTAACGACATGCAATGCGGCATACAGGTACCCTTACCCATGAAAAGGAACAGATGACTACAAAGTTTCAAAACACCATATCAGGTTATATCTATCATAAATATTCTTTTAAAAAACAAACAAACACAGAATAGGTTACGGGCAGAGAGGAACCCACATATGTATTATTAAAGGTGATTATACGAATATGAGAAACCTCCGAAAAGAATTGATGACGTCACAGAGGTGTCCGTCTCGTCAACTGGCGTCACGTGTGTCCAGTCGTATCGCTGACCATTTGTGACTGGTCGCAAATGGACATTGACAAGCAGGGACTGCTCGCTTCCGTTCCTTCATCAACAGGTGTGTCGAGTGTGCACGGAGCCGCAAGGAAGCAAGGATCGTTGTTCAGCTGGCGTTCCACCCAGTCCAGACACTGGCTCCTTGTGGATTTAAGACAATGCAGACTGATCATTATTGAACTGAATCAGTGAGGATGAAACATGAATCCTATATATTGTGGCCATTCCTGTTAATGCCACATTCCTTTGGGTCACGTCGTACGGGAACTTTAGTCTTGTCGATTTAGTTTCGAAAGTATGTCGTTGAATGTTGTGATAATCCATCAACAACATATTGTCCCCTCTTTTTATTTAATGCCGGAGACTATTTACAGCACTGTGTCATCTGAGAGTAGCGTCCTCGCAAGACATAACAAAACAGGCTGACACATAAATTTATGAAAGCTTGAAATCATACCACAGTTACAATGATAGAAAATATATTATATGCATTACGAGGCTCCCAGTGTCAGAACTTTCAGTTTGCACTGATGATTATATCAATACTTCATACAGCACCAAAGAGTATTATAAATTAACGTCGCTTGTCGACTAAACACTATTTAGTGGTGCGATGTGGGGTTCAAACTTTAAAACTGTAAAGTGTGAGGCGCAAAAAATTGAAAACAAAAGATTATCAATGTGTGAAAATCGGCAAAGTTCCTAATCTGTATTGTAGGGCAATCAACCGAGGCAGCACAATCAGAGGCGTTCATCGATGTACAGTACTTTCCCACGATTTGCGATGAAAGCATTTGAAGCGAAACACACTCGCGGGGCGCACTCTCTCTGTAAACCGAAAACAAACACTAAGTTGGGCTTTGAATTGTATTATTTAGACCATCATGTACTGCGTGGTATGGTTGGTTTCTAATCACTTTTGGGGCAAAGAGGGCGGGAAATTCCCACAGACGAAATCTGAGGGTGGTGTAAGTTTCGGCGCGTGCGGAGAGTTTATCTCGTAAATTTCGCCACTGATTGACGCCTGGGAGTGCTCATTCCACTGCGCGCGCTCCCACTAGCCAATGAAATCTGGTGTCGCGCACGACCACCACCCCCCGCAAAGCTTGATTGACAGCCAGTGGGTCTTCTCAGCGTGGGAAACCAAGACTTCGTGCCTTCACAGTGAGCTTGATGTATAAGGACGGTAATCGACATCTAAATTCCGATACATTACATGCCGACGCTCACTCGGCTACCTGTTGCATTGGTAGACATTTCACTGGGAAAGTTGCTCATTTCAACAGTCGTGTGGATGTGTTCTTCAGAAACCATGTCGGATACCTGCAGTGATGACAAGCGATCAGGCGCCTCCTCTAGAAGGGTGAGTTTATAATTTAAAGGTTTATTTTCATTTTCTTAATTTATTATTTTTATAGTGATAGGTTTTTTAATGCATCATTTTAGTAACTTTTGTCGTTATAAACGTTGACATCGATGGCATTTCAACTTGATGTTCGTGTTTCGTGTGTTTCACGACTCACGCACATGTACGTGGTCATTCTACTAATGTATTTACAAAGTGCCCTACTACATGCGCGTGGATATTTATTGCAGAGTAACAAACCGCTCATGGAAAAAAGACGGCGAGCTCGGATAAATGAGTGTCTCGGGCAGCTGAAATCTCTTGTCCTACAGGCTCTGAAGAAAGACGTAAGTGAAAACAGCTGATCCCACAGGTGACGTCCGGCACTGATACTGCTATACTCTAGCTGTGTTGACCGACACCTGTGGCTGTGAGATCATCAAGTCAGTCAACGCACTGTCTTGTATTGCCGTGGATACTTTACGGTACCAATCATGTGTAGTGACATTATATATATGTATAAAGTTCGGTCATATGTAAAACTCTCACGCTCGTAGGCAATATCTCAAGTACAATCACAATATTTGATTACAAATTTCAATGACAGATATGTCAACACTATATGTTCATGGAGGACGATTATATCGTATGCAGAAGATAGTTAATGGGTCATTTAGTTTGGAGTAGTTTCTTTCTCATGGGTCAGCGAGTCTCCACTTCTTTATTTCAAGCTTGGAGATATTTACAATTGAGCTAACAGTAATTCTTTCAGTTAGACACTAGTTATCTCCCTTTGATTGTAGATCCCATAACCCCAGTCTATAATCTGCATGAATGTTTACACAGGTCCAAAACCCCAATCATTCACCGTGATGAGTACGAATGCAGGGAGTTCCCTCCCTTAGACAGGTTTACTGTTGAAATACACCAACAATAATGTCGCAAGGTTACACAGGTTATCACTTTCTCACGGTGTTTTCAACTCGCTGTTGATAAGCGTGGCTCGCGACAAAGTGAGCGACCGAAGCATTGCAAATACATTACGCCGGCTCGCAAACTGAGAGATTTGTACAGAGCTAACAATTCTGAACTTCGGCCAACATTGCCTTCAGCAAAAGCGTGGGAGCGAAAAAGTCGTGAAACTTTGCGAAATACTTTCGGACAAGAAAGTAAACGGAATCGGAAAAAAACAACCTCGACGGAATTCGTCCTGTTTGGCCTTCGATTATTGGCCATGAAATCAGAATCAATATGAAATGATAACACACACGCACACGCACGTACGCACGCATACACTCACATTCAAATAAGTGCAGAGCCATATAACATTTGATTTCATATTGATGGTGGCTTATGGGGTCAATCAGGGCGATCGTGATTGGATTTTCTCAGATTGTTTGGACATTGCTTTTACAGAATATGTAAGAACTTGCTTTTAGTGTATTACAGTGTTGATATTCTCAGGTAGATAAAGCAGATTATTCTACAGACACATCCGTCTAATTCGCCATTGTGTATTTCAGAGCACGCAATATTCTAAACTGGAAAAGGCCGACATCCTGGAGATGACCGTGAAACACCTGAAGCTACTCCAGCGACAACAGATAGCAGGTAATGATAAACGCTATATGACAAATCGTAGAAACGCAACACCAGATACTAATGCAAGCTAGAACGATACTTATATGTAGCACGATCAGTCAATGTATGCGTTTGAGATCATGTTGTTTTGATATGGTATTTGGTTTATGTAAGAAGACAACATTCAAGATGAGTCAGGATTGAGTATGGCGCCGTTCAAGTCGTGAACTAATGTATTATCTTTCTTGCTTCAGCGGCCATGTCCTCCGATCCGTTCCTGATGGGAAAATATCGAGCTGGATTCAACGAATGTGCAGGTGAAGTCGCCAGATACCTCGATGCTGTTAGCGTCAATCATGACGTCAAGTCACGCGTTCTCAACCACCTTGCCAACTGTGTGTCTCAGATCCCACCCGAGGCCCAAATCCACCCGGCCCACCTACAAGCCCTCCACGTCATCCCTCAAGCCAGCCAGCCTGCGTTCCCCGTCAACAGCCTTGGCCCGTGCACGCCGGTGTGGAACATCGTCCCCTCGTCCGTCACTCACCAGGTCCACAGTCAACATGCTCGTATAAACGTTTCCCCATATTCCAAAATGGACCGGCCCAGGTTTACACCGTCTCCAGAGAGTAGGTCTCTCCCTGAGAGCCGTTCCTCCCCAGATTCATCACCTGTGTCTTCCCCGGACTCAAAGAGTGACATAGACCTTTCCTCAAGACGTCAGTGTGAAATGTATACACCTCCACACGTATCTGCGTCGCCATCTTTGATTTCCGTGAAAAGAGAAAGGGAGACAACTCCGCCCCGACAAGAACTTGAACAACAGTTGGAAGTCGAGGGTGATAAAATGTGGCGACCCTGGTGATGAAAACAGTTTCTATAAAACAAGATCACTGACTTAATATGCAGGTTTTATCACAGCAGGGAGGTTGCACGTCTTTCACTTCAGTAATATCATTGTCACACCGACACACACGTGTATATAATAGTGATATCATTGTGTCACACACAAGTGCCTTGTATATCCGCGATATTGTTCTACACACACGTTCCATGTATATCCGTGATATCATTGTGTCACACACACGTGCCTTTTATATCCGTGATATCACTGTGTCACGGACATTTTGTGCCAGGTATATCCGTGATATCTTTGTGTCACACACGTGCCTTCAATATCCGTGATATCACTGTGTCAGGGACATTTTGTGCCACGTATATCCGTGATATCTTTGTGTCACACACACGTGCCTTGATTATCCGCGATATCTGTCACTTCCACAAATTCACGTGCTTCGTAAATATTGGTGACGTCACTTTTTCCACTTACCCACGTGTCTGCCGCCAGAGGGGGTTGGTTGGCTGTTGACTTTATGGAAAGGGAATATTCCAAGTGCTCTCTGAGTGTAAGCTCAGATAATTGTGTCAAATTAAACCACCATTTGAAATGCATCTGTGTTGTTGTCCTCTGTATAGACAAGTGTGTGAGAAGTCGGTGCTGCACCAGTCACGCACCGGTCCTGTCTCTTCACACCAGGTAATCGCAGTACTAAGATGTAAATTCGTAAGTTGGTGCGTTAACGAAACTCGAAGAATAACGAATACATCATGAACACAAGGCAGTATTGCTTTACTATACACAGTATATGAGATAGAAGAGAGTAATTGTTATATTATGTCTGCGTAATACACCACATGTAAGGATAATGCAGATCAGTTAAAGTGATGCTTGTATATATAAGTGTTTAACAAGTATACATCGCAAAGACCTGACTGGAATATGTCAAGGGGTGTCGGGCCTCAGTTAGCAGTATTATAGCGAATGACACAGTCGCTACAACACTGCTACCTGTCGCCTGAACCACACTAGCCTCGGGCCACAGTAAGCCGTGTTGTAGTGAGTGACACTTGCGTCAGGCCTCAGTTAGCAGTATTGTAATGAGTGACACTAGCGTCAGGCCTCAGTTACCAGTATTGTAGTGAGTGACACTAGCGTCAGGCCTCAGTTAGCAGTATTGTAGTGAGTGACACTAGCGTCGGGCCACAGTTAGCAGTATTGTAGCGAGTGACACTAGCGTCGGGCCTCAGTTAGAAGTATTGTAGCGAGTGACACTAGCGTCGGGCCTCAGCAGTATTGTAGCGAGTGACACTAGCCTCGGGCCTCAGTTAGCAGTATTGTAGTGAGTGACACTAGCGTCGGGCTACAGTGAGCAGTGTTGTACTGAGTGACACTAGCGTCAGGCCTCAGTTACCAGTATTGTAGTGAGTGACACTAGCGTCAGGCCTCAGTTAGCAGTATTGTAGTGAGTGACACTAGCGTCGGGCCTCAGTTAGAAGTATTGTAGCGAGTGACACTAGCGTCAGGCCTCAGCAGTATTGTAGCGAGTGACACTAGCCTCGGGCCTCAGTTAGCAGTATTGTAGTGAGTGACACTAGCGTCGGGCTACAGTGAGCAGTGTTGTACTGAGTGACACTAGCGTCAGGCCTCAGTTAGCAGTGTTGTAGTTAGTGACACTAGCGTCGGGCCTCAGTTAGAAGTATTGTAGTGAGTGACACTAGCGTCAGGCCTCAGTTAGCAGTATTGTAGCGAGTGACACTAGCGTCGGGCCACAGTGAGCAGTGTTGTACTGAGTGACACTAGCGGCAGGCCTCAGTTAGCAGTGTTGTAGTGAGTGACACTTGCGTCGGGCCTCAGTTAGCAGTATTGTAGCGAGTGACACTAGCGTCAGGCCTCAGTTAGCAGTATTGTAGCGAGTGACACTAGCGTCGGGCCACAGTGAGCAGTATTGTAGCGAGTGACACTAGCGTCAGGCCTCAGTTAGCAGTATTGTAGCGTGTGACACCAGCGTCGGGCCTCAGTTAGCTGTATTGTAGTGATGCAGTTAGCAGCGATGGCGTCAGCTTAAATTACAATTATCCACAGTATTGTCAAGGTGCTTAGTTCCCCAACTGTGTTGTCGTGTCTACAGTGTGGTCATGTTACGTTCCCTGAGGCGCCGTGACTGCAAGATGTCGTCATGGTATCTGATTCACTCTCGCTATTATACGCGCTCCTGTATCAGAATAACGTGTTTGAAGGGTGTTCCTGAAATACATGTATGTTTATTTGATGTCCATTGCCTTCACATACAAGTTTCATAATATTATTTGATAATCTGTGTTGGCCTAATTTAACTACCTTTAAACGTCGCCCATCATCCAAGTAACACAGAACCCTGACTTCCTCACACCTTGTGGTCACCGGAGCCGGCCACGTCACCAAGTAACACAGAACCCTGACTTCCTCACACCTTGTGGTCACCGAAGCCGGCCACGTCACCAAGTAACACAGAACCCTGACTTCCTCACACCTTGTGGTCACCGAAGCCGGCCACGTCACCAAGTAACACAGAACCCTGACTTCCTCACACCTTGTGGTCACCGAAGCCGGCCACGTCACCAAGTAACACAGAACCCTGACTTCCTCACACCTTGTGGTCACCGAAGCCGGCCACGTCACCAAGTAACACAGAACCCTGACTTCCTCACACCTTGTGGTCACCGAAGCCGGCCACGTCACCAAGTAACACAGAACCCTGACTTCCTCACACCTTGTGGTCACCGAAGCCGGCCACGTCACCAAGTAACACAGAACCCTGACTTCCTCACACCTTGTGGTCACCGAAGCCGGCCACGTCACCAAGTAACACAGAACCCTGACTTCCTCACACCTTGTGGTCACCGAAGCCGGCCACGTCACCAAGTAACACAGAACCCTGACTTCCTCACACCTTGTGGTTACCGAAGCCGGCCACGTCACCAAGTAACACAGAACCCTGACTTCCTCACACCTTGTGGTCACCGAAGCCGGCCACGTCACCAAGTAGGAGTGTGTGGTGGTGAGGCAGGCATCAACACCCACTCTCCATGATTAATTCCTAAATAATGCACAACAGATTTCTTTGGGTAATTTTGACAGAATGGGGGAAAAGTAAGCGAAAAGTCAGTTAAACATGCTAGAAAAAGTTCTAAACAGTGTGTTTTGTAGAAGGGTGGCAGATGTTATAAACTCGGTTAGCTTGGGTATGTTGTTTACTTGGCGTGGTGTAATAGCTGCGAAGGGAGGGATGGGTTTTATTTACTAGACACAGTGAATTAAGAGCTGTGGAGCTTTGGGATTATATACCCCGATCATCCATTACTCAAACTCCCTATAACACGAACAGTGGACTATTTCACCTACTTCTGTGGACCCAACCAAGCATAACAAATGACCTAATTACCACCAGTTGTCTAAATACTAGACTCAGTGCCCGGACATCTGTAAGTTAGATGTAGAACTAGAAAATTATTTTATTAACGTGTCACGCATTGTAACATGCATGTATGACAACAACAAAATATTCATAAAAAGCAAACAATGTCAGGGTTTATGGCCTATGAGACTCAACACAACATCTATACAAATACGGATAAAAAACAAGTTTCATATATAGATCAAACTATAGATTCATGTGTTTTAACTTTACTTAGGAAAAGGTGAAGTTATAGAGTAAGTTTTTGTTTTCGTCGTCGAGACATTCGATATAACAATGCGGCAAGGGGTTTAATAGACCAATCGTTCCACATTAAGTGAGTGAGTGAGTATGGTTTTACGCCGCTTTTAGCAATATTCCAGAAATATCACGGCGGGGGACACCAGAAATGGGCTTCACACATTGTACCCATGTCGGGAATCGAACCCGGGTCTTCGGCGTGAGTTCCACATTAAGAGCACATCTGCAAATATGTAGGGTAATGTTGCAAAGGTCTTAGCTGAGCTCTGAGTAGAAACTACAGCCAGCTGGAGTTTGTGCTTCTCTTCCACAACGTTCCTGTTACTAAATTTACATGTTCTGTCTTGAAGTGGATTTTTGGGCGAGTAAATCTACCTTACACATATAGTTCTATTTGCAAAGACAGAGTGCTACAGTGAAACTTGCCCATAATGCTACACTGAGATCTCAAACAAAACGAAAATATGATTCAACAGTTACTGCTGTGATTTAAATAATCTTCATGTACGTAATATATTACCTTTTGCTTGGCCATTACCATGTAAAGACCAGTAAACCAGCCATGGCCATCTAAAGAAAAAAAAGCGTTTTTAGCAAGATGAAAATCTGAACAAGAAACATCGTACAAATCAAACACTGGTAACTGAAGACTGTTTAGCAAGGCAAACACTTTGTTATTCACGGATATACGGATATTAACGGACTATCTGCAAATAGCGCTTAGCATTCGTGATTGATCGGCAGCATAAAGCCTGTGACAAAACCGTGCTATTTCAGTTCTGCGTCTGGTTACTGAAGGTCCCCACCAGCCGCCCATTCACCACGAACACCTTAGTTTGGGGTTGTACTGCCGACTGCTGAGACAAACCTTCGTGCTCGGCTCTGGCCAGCATCCATACAGCTGACTTCCCTTGTACCCCAGATAGCTGACCCATCATATAAGATAGGTTGCACTAGATTATCATACAAAGAATTGTATAAGTTATAAGCCAAGCCACCAACTGATTTATATTTACATATTAAAACACCAAGCGCTAACTGCAGATTTAGCCATTTCTTGACCGGTGAAAGTCATATCGAGCTTTTCATTGACCAGACAGCCAAATATTTATAAGCGTGAGTACTTTCAACCAATACCATAGTAAGTTAAGATATATTAACTGTAGAAGGGCAAAAAATATACAACCTTATTTTTCTTAATATTGACAAGTAGACACCACTGTGAAAACCAGCGGGCTACACTATCTAATATTGGCTTTAAAGAGTTTCATAGCGCAGTAAGAGCGATATCATCAGCATACATGACAATGCTGAACATGTCATCATCGAAGTACCACCGTTTAAGTTATTAACCTCAGTTATTAGATCTAAATCATTAATAAACACTGAAAAGAGAGTCGGCGACAAAACACCACCTTCTTTAACACCAGAATACACAGGTATGTTTTGTATTTACTGTTCATATATTTGTAGTTTGTAGAATATTGCCAATGGTTCACAATCGAATGTTACGCAATAAATATCTTATCTTATTTTACTGGGAAACGAAGATAAGACATTCTGCATTCTTCTGCATGTGCTCACTGTCATTTTAGCTACCAGTGTTTTCATCTTGTTCATTTGCGTAAGACAACTTCCACTAGTTAAGTACTGCATGGGTCCGGGAGTCGGCAGGGGGACAGGCGAGTGTCAGCGTGTTGTAACGGATCTTCTCTGGCGCGTGGTTACCATGGGAGGCAATTGTTTCCGAACATGGAATCCCATTCCATCTACTCGAAACTGTTCAACAGCAGCTTAACGAGGAACGCGTTTGTAGGATGACTACCTAGAATCCTCATCTAATCAAAGTCATTGTCATCTTAGTGGCAATATAATTCACTCTCTATGATGTATTTACGAGGTTCTGTTTTTACCC